CTTACTTCCTCCGTTAGATCAGACATGGGGAAGAATAATCCATGAATTTCACGCAGCTTTTACTTCCATCCCCATGCTGAGTGCCTCCCTAGGGCATTGCTCTGAGAAGAGCTCCTTGCAGCTCAGGCTGACAGCGGATACTTCTTCAGCTGGGGTCAGGGCCCAGGAACTGGTGACCTGAGTGCTGCAGGAGGCTGCCACTGAAATGGCAGAACAGGGGAAGAAGAGTATGGGCAAACAGAGTGGGAAGAAGAAAATAATTAGCTAGTTTTAGCTCAGCAGGCTCCTGATGTGTCTGCTGGGTGGTCTGAAGAAGGCTGTGCTCAGCCCAGCCTAGCAGGGATTGCTGCTGCTGGCTAGTACCCAGACCAGAGCTTGATGAGACGTCCAGTCCCTTGCTCGCAGCCTCAGGCCCAAGTCCCAGCTAAATGTGAATCTCTTACTCTGCCGTGCACCTCATGTGGCTGTGGGGGATTTGCCCTGGCTATGCTGGGGCTGAGGCAGATATTTCCTGGCATTTTGAGGAGGCGCCTCGCCGCTGCTCTCCCCTCTGGTGTGAACAGGTTTGACTCCTGCTGCCAGGTGTGAACGCCTGACAAGCTTTGACCTTTGCAGGTGGTGGTTGTGCAACACGGTGCGGCTGCCAGAGGTGTTCAGGTTAAGCAGCCATGGCCTCAACTATCTCAGGAATGCCCAGGGTTGATACTATTCCTCATTAAGTGAGAGCTGCGTTTGGAAGGAGTGAATATTCTTACTGAAAGGCAGCACTAACTATATGCTGTAGAGTTAGCCCTGTCAAAACCATCTTGGGGTTTGTTTTTTTGGTGGTGGTGGTGGTTTTTGTTGTTTGTTTGTTTTTCTGTGGCTTGGGGTCATAGGGATGGAAGGGAGGGTGGTTTCTGACTTAAATATCAAGGGTTGTCATCCTGAGTGGAAGAACAAAAGGAAGAAAGATGGAAGCTCTCTGAACATTGCGAAGTTCTGACCTGGGGTCTGTTTTTCACGTCCCTGGAATCCTTGCTAGCTTGGATTTTCAAAACCTTAATCACTTCTAGCTTTCTGCATTCAGATCTCGGCATCACCCCCGATGGACTCTACATTATATTGCCTCCCTCTCTTATTCCCCAAGCCTGCACGCTGCTTTGCCTTCCCAAATAATGTTTTCCATGTTCCAATTAGATTAAGGGCTTGCCTGCACAGGAAAGCCGCACTACTATTAATTTGCAGTGTGCTTTAAAGGAATTATATTAAACCTGGGCAAAAGGCCATGTGGATAACCTGGTATTCCTTTGCAGGAATACAAATGGCTTATTTCAGGTTAGTTCAGGTCAATCGGGAACAGGAAGAACTCGCAAAGCAATACATTTTCCTACACCAGAACGAGGAGAGTCCAGCAGCTTCTTCTGTGGATTCTGTCCTCCAGATGGAAAGGAAGGGTAGGGCATGGTCTTGTAATCAGCAGGAGACAATCTGCTGAACAGAGTAGAATACTTAAAAATATAGCTCTTTGCCAAATACATACAGATATATATATATATATATATATATATATAGTATGGGCTTGCCCAATATAGAAAAAAAAAAAAAGTAATGAGTATCTGTCTACTGGCAGTAGATACTGCTCTTTGGATACTCCGTGTCCTGGACTTAACTGTAGTGGTCTGCAAGCAGATTGCAAGTTTACAATTGTGTCGTTCTCTTGTAGGCAAGCTCAAAGTAACAGAAGATGAAGATAAAAGAATAGAGACTTATAGCAGTAAAAAAAAAAAATAATATGGAGGCGCATCAGTAAGTCTTGGATGCTGTGCATTCTCATTTTGAACTGGTTTGAACTGGTAAGCTAGCAATTACTTAAATCCAAATAGGCACCTAGTCAGGATGGCTCCTATATTCAACAGCATTAATATTATACTTTGAAGAAGGCACTAATGCCTCTCTGTATGGTTCCTGTAAACTTCTTTCTCTTCCAATTACAATTTCTAAACACCAAATGCAACTTTCATGTCACGTTAAGTGTCTTCTTTGAAAAACACAGCCCCTCTAGAGGGTCATGACCAAATACCAGGGTGATGGCAGCTCCAAAACACCCATGGGATTATCAGGGCCCTGAGGGCACCGCCAGCCCTGACTGTGCCTCAGCAGCCCCCTGAGGCTCCCCCACCTGCCCAGGTCCCCACATCAGCCCAGGGCTGCCAGCCCCTTCCCCAGCCAGGCCACAGCAGGGCCAGACCCTGCCCTGCCCCACCATGGGCCCTGCCCCACCATGGGCCCAACCTCGAGGGCACAGGAGCCAAACCCAACCCTGGTTTGCATGAGAAGGGGTGAAGAAAGCAGTCTTCCTAGTTCCTCACTGCTACTGTTGTATACGAGGCCTATCCCTTGGCCAGTGAAGGATTCCCAGCGACCACAAGGGAATAAAAGTGGTGCAGAGGCTCATAGTAATAAATTGAAAGGTTCAGATCGGTGTGAAGGGAGGAGTGGGGAAGCCCGGGGGTGGAGGCAGCAGGAGGAGCACTCAGGAGGGGAAGGCTGTGTCAATGACACCGGATTAGCAGGTCATCAAGACCCCAGGGCATCTGCTTGCTGTTTCACAAGACACTCAGATCTGGAGACAAAGAACAGCGATTAGTCCTGATGACTCCCCGAGCTGGGGCAGGATGGCATCACTGTCAGCTCTAAAAGGATACAAAAGGACATCCAAACCCTGTGCATGGCCACCGATCTAAGAATTAACTCAGGAGACCTGAGGACAATTTGACAGATGGCATCCTTTGTTCTCCATCACAACAGATCCTGGACCCATCATCTGGACACATCTGGATGGATTTGGGGTCGATACGCTGGCATAGTGGCTGTCTGGAGTTCTTGGGGGCCACACACTTATGGGCATTAAGCTGTGAATGTGGGTGAGCGAAACCTGTCCTGTTTCAGTTTTTGTTTTAAATAAAATCACTTTCTCTTCCTTAAGGTCCCTTCCACCCTGGATGTTTTCTACATTGTAGGTACCGTGTTGCAACAGTATTTAGAGGAAAATATACAGAGGAAAAAGGAGCATTAAATAGGAGCATTCAGCTGCATAATCTTTATTTCAGTCATCTCTCTTGTGATGGCAGCAGAGAAAAAAAAAATCATAATGTTTTTTTAAATCAGGACAAAACATTTTTTTTTCTAGATGGGTTTTTCAAAGGCCACCATGTCCCCTTTGCTCACTTTGGCCAGCCGTGCCGCTCACATAACTGGACTTCTGGCCCCCTCCCTGGTTAGAGGGTTAGCTCAGGCTTCAGTTTGCATGTTGCACCCTTTGCAGTTAAATCATATCAGGCAAAGGCATTTTGAGACACCTAGTCCATCACACTGCCTTTGATATATCCAACCACTCTGGATGGACGCTCATTGAACTGGATGTCCAGAACAACCCCATTCCCAAACTGAGGGAGAGTTGCAGAAGCCAGGAGCCCCTGCATCACACCAGGACTGCAAAGCTGGGTTGATAAAGCCGAGGGCTCCCAGCTCTTTTTGGACAACACCACCTGTTGACTTCCCATCTACACAGCCCTTTGCCTAAAAGATGGCATGGTGGTGCTGTTCAACTCAAAGAAGTGGCTGCATGGCTTGTTGCTCTGTGGCACTCTGCTTTAGACTAACTTAATTCTCCCTGTACTATAGGCTTGTCACTTTTTAGACTACTCACAGTAAACAGGAAGAGTGGGTTTTTTCCTTCCTCTTTGCAGCATCTTTTTTATATATTTGCACACTGCTATCTTTCCTCTCCTCAGATTTTTCTTCTCGAGACTAAATTGTTCTTCATAGGTCCTCACAGTTCACGTCTTCTGAACTTCTGGCAGAGCAGAAACGACCTGGACTAGCAGGCATGGAAACTGAGACTTCTGTCTTCATAGATTAGATGCTACAGTGTGGGCGTAGTGAGAGCTCCATACCTAACTCCTGATGTGGAACATCTCTAGAGGCAAGAAGATAAAGTATTGCTGAAGCTTACCTAAGTGGTTCAGATTTCCTCTTTAATCAATAGCCTCTAGGCTGTTTCAGCCTACTAGGATCTGTTTGTGCCAGGTGTGGTAGTGTTTCTGTGATACAGACAAAACATCCCAAGAGCAACAGCAGTGCTAACCAACTCATTTCACACAAATTGCCAGCACTGTGGGGGCAGAGCACTCAGGTAGGGCTCCTCTAATCAGCTGAAGATGCCTATAGGGAAGGCTGTCCAGCCAAGCTAGTCACCTCACGCCACTCTTGAAGCCCCTTGGGAGAAAAAGGCACTCTGAGGTGATGAATCATCTCATCCTCAGGTAGATATCTAACCCAGATCAGATAAGGCATACCTTTAAAGTGCCTATGGGGTAACAGATGTAGAGATAGACACTGCAGACATCTAAAATTAGGGGAGCTGAACCTCACCTATTAAACTGGTGACACACAGGTCAAAAGCAGCGCTTCCTGTGGGGAATTTTCAGAGCACACCTTTTGCCTTCTTGAATTCACAGCCACCTCAAAACAGTGAGATGCAGTGACTGTTGAGAGACATAGCAGTCTTCCACCGAATGGCTGAATCTTCTTGCTGATTTTCAAAATAAAAATAATAAACCCCTTCATTTTTAATAATAATCATTTTTTTTTCAGAACAGAAGTAGTTGCTTTTTCACTTATGTTCTTGCCAGCATGTGGAGTTGGTAAAGCAAATGCTTAGATTAGGAAGCACTGATGTTCACCATGGCTAAAATAATGATATTCTGCAGAGAATGATTTTTAGGCAGGATTCATCTGATACAGTTGAATTCCAAAGATTTATCTTGCAGAATCTTTTGAAAATGTGTGCTTCAAAATAATCTTTTTTTTTTATTATTTTTATTTTTTTTTACTACTGTAGAATTGTCTTCATTTTCTTCCCTTCATTTTTATTACTTAGTTATTGGTTTGTAATTAAGAAAAAAAAAGATTGTTGTGATAGCACAGCACATCTCCTGACCCACTTCAGTGCAAATACATATATAACCACTTGTTTGTTTGTACTTTTACAGGTGTTGGTCCTGTGCAGATACGGAACATGGTTAAAGTTTCATAATGGAAAATCTGACAGGCAGTTAACTAATCCATGAGTCACATTTCGTAATAGCCTAAAGGTCTCTGATGTTCGACCTTCATTTGATACCCTTGCCATCAGGGAGTTATACATAACCCATCTGAAGAACATTCTTTATATAGATGACTGCAAGCTGCCCTTTTATACCTGCAAGAATGAATAGGCATCACATTTACTGAACCAGGGAAGTTTTCTGCCTGCCTTTCCACTCCTCCCTCTCCCTCTGACTCTTTGCAGGACTGCAGAGGAGCATTGCAGGAAACTCAAATGCAAACAGTGGCAGAGTGCTTAGTTTAAGTCTCTTGCAGGGCCTAGCTGAAAGGTAAGGAGGAGGGTGGGGATTTTGTTTCTGGATTTCATTTATGTTTGTTTTGAAGGAGTTCCTTATCAGCACAGCTCCAATAATGAAAGTAGCAGTGGAGCTACCAACACTAAGAGAGCTCTGGTGTTCTTACCTGTGTGTGGCTCACTTCTGCTTAAGGCAGGCCAGACAGATACAGAATGAGACATCCTATTGTCAGATCATCCCAAATAGGAATCCAGCCTTTGCTGACAACTGTGGAGCTGTGCCAGCATTAGCAATGCCAAGGTGTTTATAGGATGACTTAACGTGTAGAGGATCCTTCTGGAGAACCTACCACTTTATTCCCCAGCCAAAGGGTGGAAAAGCAACACATTGCTTTGTAGGGTACCATAAGGTTGTCGCCTTTCAGGACTTCTCAAGTTGCCCAGTAAGGCAGCAAAGGATATTGACATTACGGCTATTTCCAAAGCTAAAATAAGGCAGACACATGACTTCAGTAACCACATGTGAAGCTTACATACTATAAATCATTGTAATAAAGAAACCAAAACAAAATCCTAGTCTGCCGTTAAAGCTGGAATATGTTTTCCACAATAAGTGCTTTTAGGTTTGATTTGTCTTCTTTTTCATGGCTGTGGAATAGCAGAGCATCTCAGGAAGATTAACTCATTGCCATTGCAGGACAGAAAGTTCTGGTCTTGGTGAATGGACCCAGTATAAAACACACCAGAAAGTTATCTTATTTTTTTTTTCAAATGCTCTGGCAACATCAGCTTTTACTGCACTGCCAAATACTAGACAAGAGCAGCTGGGAAGACAAATGGAAAGAAGAAGGCAGAGGAAAAGAGCTGCGTCCCAAGCTTTTGCTTCGTCTGTCATTTTAAGAAACGGAGCCGTTTCCAAACAACTGTTTTATAATTGTGTCTTAAGATCTCAGCAGAGACTGTGTGTGATGTATGTGTAGCTTGTGAGTTGCCTGCTGTGCATGGAGAACTGCACAGTGAGGGTCTGGCACAGTGGGAGGGGGAACACGCCCAGCCTGCCTGTAGGCACCAGCGTGGGGGTTAGTCATCCTGCTGAGTCAACAGGAGACACAAGCACCTCCAAAGGGTGCCTCTGCCCACTTGTCGTCTAAAGTTAGACAGCTAAAGTTATAATGATAGGCTCGTGTGCAATGCTCATTTATGCATGAAATTCATCTTGCATGGGTGATCTGGATCAAACTCTTTTCATCTGGAGTAAACTCTGTGAGGGGCTGTGCAGGGGTCCACAGCAGTGTTTTACAGCTCTCCTTGCAGCCCTTCTCAAGCAAGTGCAGAAGGTGGGAAAAAGTCAAATGGAAGTCCCAGTAGGATTTGTGTTCACGCAAATCTAGTGCTAGAAACAAGACAGCAGAGTCTGAATTCTGTCAAGAAAGGTGCAAAAACGAAGCTGGGACAAGGGAAAGGATGGCACAGCAGATGTATCCAGCCCTCTGTCAGCAATTCTACCTCATTGCCCACCTCTGCCTTTCACTTGCATAGAGACTGATTCCTGGCTGGTATTTTATTGGAGTGAATTCCCACTTACCAGAACACAGTAATTGTTCAGGCTCCTTGTTTACACAGGTCTTGCTGTACAAGTTTTGTCCTGTCAGTCACAAATTTCTAAGCATCTAGACTCTACTTCAATAAACAGGGAGAGTTAGGTGTGTTTTTTTTCCATCTTTGCAAATTTGCAAATGACTTTACAAGAAAGTCATCAGCAATAGTTGGATAAACACACAGTTATCCTTGTCAAACTCCAGGCAAAGTGACAGCACAGCTAGGATCAGTAAGAGCCCTTTTTTTTTTTTCTTTTTTTTTTTTTTCTTCTTGACGTGATACTGACTATGTGCCTAGTGTTGAGATAAACCTGGCAGAAGCAATGTAGTCTAAACTCTAGGAGGTTGAGGTTTGGAGGGCTTTCCATCCTGTTCCGTCATCTCAGGCCACAGCCTTGTAGCGTCACTTTTACTGGAAGATTTGAGATTATCATTTAGGGTCCCTGCAAAAAGCAGGGCACAGCTACACAAAACCTACTGGCAAGATAGGCTTGCTGAAACAAATTTAATGTAATAAAATGCACTACAAAGTTGTATGACTCTTGTCTGGTGGCCTGAGGGAAGCCATTCCCCGTTTGGCCTGCAGTACCCACTAAACTCAGCGTAACTATCTCCAACAACTTATCCTGGCATAGGATCACAATAGTCATAACAAACTTAGGTTTCTAAGTGCCAAGAAGACAAAGAAACCACAGTGTACAACTGTTCCACAACATGCTGCGCTCTTGTTTTGGCTGAATATTCATCTTTTTAATTAAAAAAAAATCTTCAGAAGAGAATTTTTATTCTGCCTGTCTTTCCTCTCCTTATTACAGTATTTGCTATAATGAAATGTTAAATGACAGGGACATCATTACCTGACATTATTCTCTCTTTTTCTGAACAGTTCCTTGCCCTGAGAATTAATAAAAGAAAATACACCTTTTCAGCTCTTTGTGTACTTCCCTTGGTTTATTTTCAGCTTTTGACGGTGCTATTCAGGATGTCAGCTTCCCTGTTTCTTCCCCATTTCCTGGTTCCCTGAGCTGGTATGGAGCCTCTGATGCTGCAACAAGGCAAGGTAAAATACTAAAATATATAAATAAAGAAATAAATAAAATAAAGTATTGTGACAAAAGGACAGGCATTGCCCCAGGGATTCATAAACTGAAAGTTCTTTAAAATTCTTCCGAAAAACAGTCTGGTTGTGAGTTGACAGTGTCCTTTTAAGAATAGTTTATATTGAGAGATCCCATGACCAAGTTTTGGCTGAGCACAAGTGCTAATGACTTTTTTGAAATGAAAAACATTTCTAAAGACAAAAATAGCTAGTACTGAAATATCTCTCAGTCATTATTTACAATTTCTATGTGATCCCTTGTCTAGATTTATAATGATTACTTGCCGTGCCAGCAGAACTTAAAACTTTGTGGCTTTGTCTTTAATGCTATAATTAAAAACAGGATAATTTTCATGGGTCTAGAATAATTTGTAATTCTTGGGAGAGCTCTGTCTTTTAAGTGGCCTTACCTAAGATACAATCTTCACTGACCTAAGCATGTAGGCACATTTTTTACACTCACTGATGTCTTCATCAAGGAATCATACACCTTTAGGGTTATTTCAACCTGATACCTTGAGATAAAACTACCATTTTCTCAGTCTTCCTTAAGATTTTAAAATGTGCTCAAGTTATCTCTAAGTAAAACAGTTTATTTTTCTTCGGTCAGTATGTATCCAGATAGCTTGTCTCTTTTTGTCCCGTAAGAATTAAAGACATTGCCTTTTTACAGTCCTTTCACACTGTCTTTCCTCCACCTTGGCATTTTCCATTCTGCTCTCCACCCACTTATGACACAAACTGGGGACCCTGCAGTGACTCCCCAGCATTTCCAGAGCTGGGCAGACTACAGACCAAAAACTTAATGTTCCTCTTAAATATGGGATCATTCTGTAGTGTATCCCCTAAAATCTGTTCTCTTGCTTGTTCTCTGTATTTTGTTGGAAGGATGGATGTTCCTCATCATGCAACAAAAAGACCAGATGCTTTGTATGTATATATATGTATATATGTATGTATATGCTTTCACTCATACATTCATCAGGGCAGACCATGCATTTTAGCAATAGTCATTGAGGAGTAATTATAGGGGATAAGGAGAAAGTTAGCTCCTCAAACGGGAATTTCTTCGTACTGAAACACTTTTGATGTATAAAGCTTTTGTTTGTTTGTTTGTTTTGTTTGTTTGTTTGTTTTTGCCTGATTCTTCTATGGATAGATTTCTGCCATGCAGAAACTTTTAACTTGTTCTTAAAGGTTTTGTTTTGGGAACAGTTTGTGTAAGATATTTGAATCTTGAACCTGCTTGTGTCTAGTAGTGTTAATAACCTGGGGCAGCCAATGTTTATATAGCACTGAGCACCATGACGGCACTTAGTAAATAATGAAATAAATCACAGGCTTTGTTTCTGTTAAATACTATGTTTGCCCTCTGAGGATAGAAATCTTCTGGATCCTGCTCAACAACATCAGTCGGGCGAAACTGGATATTGTGCCAAATTTATCCTAGCTCCTTTAATGTATGGCACCAGTACAGACAGAGCATTGGCTGACAAAGAACTCAGTCTCCCACTGGGTTTCCACAGCAAGGTTTTGGCAGCTGGGGGCTGCAGGGGTGGCCTCTGGGAGAAGGGTCCAAGAGCTGCCTCCATGTCAGACACAGTTGGTTCCAGTCAACTCTGAAGGGGACTTGCAGGTGGCCAGAGCTGATCCCACCAGCCAAGGTGGGTGTCTGTGAAAACATATTTAAGAAAGGCTAAAAAACACCGTACAGCAGCTGGGGGAGAGGGGTGAGAACATGTGAGGGAACCAGCCCTGCAGCCCCCAGGTGAGTGCAGCAGGAGGGCAGGAGGTGCTCCAGGCAGGCAGCAGCAGTTCCCCTGCAGGCTGTGCAGGGAGAGGCCCCTGGTGGAGCAGGCTGTCCCCCTGCAGCCCATGGGTCCCACATGGAGCAGATCTCCATGCTGCAGCCCCCCCATGGGTGGAGGAGCCCCCGGTGGAACAGGTGGATGTGGCCTGGAGGAGGCTGCAGCCCATGGAGAGCCCCCGCAGGAGCAGGGGGTCTGGAGGGAGCTGCTGCCCACCCGTGGGGGACCCGTGCTGGAGCAGTTTGCTCCTGGGGGATGGACCCCGTGGGACAGAGCCGTGTGGGAGCAGTGCTTGAAGAGCTGCTGCCTGTGGGCAGTCCCCATGGGCTTAGTTCGAGAAGGACGGCATCCCGTGGGAGGGACCCCATGGGAACCAGGGGACGAAGCGTCAGGGACTGACCACAGCTACCATTCCCCCATTCCCCTGCAGTGTTCAGGGAGAAGGATATAGAAAAGTCAGGAGGGAAGCTAAGCCTGAAATAAAAGGGAGTGGAGGGGAGGTGTTTTTAGTTTTTTCATTTCTCACTGCCTTACTCTGTGTTAACTTGACACAAATTAAATTAACCTTCCCCAAGTTTTCTGTTTTGCCCATGACGGTAATTGGTGAGCAATCTCAACCCATGAGCTATTCCATCACATGTTCTCCCCCATCTTGTTGAGGAGGGGGAGTGAGAGAGCCTCTTGGTGAGAACCTAGCGAACAGCCAAGATTAACCCACCACAAAAAAAAATAAAAATCGAAGTCTCTGGAGCCTTCATTAAAAATATCCACAAGAATTCTTAATTTTTATACAAGTACACAATCAAGGTAGAAACGGAAAGTGGTGAATACATCCAAAGCAACAATTACAGCACACAGGAACCATTAGGGTCCAATTTCATTGCCCTGTTCCAGGCTTCTAGATGTGCTCTGAAAATACAGTTACTTTGCCTGCCATGGAGGGGGTGCCCAAGCATGTGAAAGCCAACGCAGAATTAGTGATGTGAAGAAAACCCATGTTAGTTAACTATCTTAAAGTACCAAGCAGAGGGAAATTGGGAGGACAAGTGTTATTGCATTCTACAAAGTTGGCCTTCCAGGCCCACCTGCCGGTGCAGAAGCTGAGGGAGAGCATGTGCTGTAGAGAGAAGCCGTGGGTTTCCTTTCAGAACAGCCTGAAAGCTTCTCAGGAATCCCAGCGCTTAAAATATGCCTCAGAAAAATCATGCTGCAGTTGAATGTGCCTAGCTTGCATGTGTTTTCAATAGAAACATCAAAATTGTTTCAAGATTGAGGCATGTACATGTTAAACTTTGAGTATAAGCTAAAGAACACATAGAACCGTACTAAATTGGGTTCTGGTACAGCCTGACAAAACACTCAAGATGCAACCTAATTCCAAATGCACCCATAAAAAAACAGCATCCATGCAATCTCCAGATCAAAGCAAATCAAATCAAATCAAACCACCAAATCAATCTTAAATTTCTAGGTGAGGTTGCTAAATTCTCAGTCTGATTCAATCACTGTTCCATCAGGAATTGGCAAAGCTGAGAAATACTTTAGGACTAAAGTCAGCATATTTAAATGTTTGTGACATTTGTACTTTTCTGTTTTGAATGTATGAGTGAGGAATAATCCCTATAAATGTGTAAACTCAATATGGTCTTATTATGGAATAATAATACTTGCAGGAATCAAAAGATTTGTAGCATATGTCCAGAACTTCATTACTGAAGATTGAGTTATGCTGAGGAGTCCTGAGCTGCTCCAGAAGATAGGAAAGGACAACATTCAAAACTCCAGAAATCACTGAAAAGGGAGTTAAGGTACTACAAACTGAGGTCTCTACAAAACCAGACTAAGATACAGAGTTGAAAGCCTCTGCCAACTCTGGAACACAAACTGAAGTCTGCTCTCCCAGAAGCAATAGCAGCCAGGGGGGAACAGGAAAGGATCAAGAAACAGCAGGGTGGGAGACAAAAGCTAAAAGACCATCAGGACGAGAGGTGAATTTCAACATAAGCTACTAGATTCAGCAGGGGGTTTCTTGGTCTGAGTTCTGTAGGAGGCCAAGCCAGACAATCTGGATGGTTCACAACAAGTAGCTTGAGTTTCAGCACTCCGCTGCTCGTTCTGTGGCAGCAGTTGTAACAGTATTGAATGGTAAACGGGTGAGTGAGTAGCAGCATGCTGGCAGAGCCCTGGCTGCAGTAAGAAGAGAGGTACACGTGTATCTAGATGGTTCAGGCATGCCCTGTGTCAGCCGTGAATTCTGCAGTTTGCGTTAATCAGAGGAGCATGCGAGTTGTCTGCTTGCCATGGGGGTGGGCAGCAGCTAGGCAGCCTGCAAAAATGGTAGTTGTGGGGGCACAGAAACGAGGAGCTGAAGGTACTGTCTCGAAAGAAATCTCTACGGAGAGCATAAAGGGAGATACCATTCCACATGTCTGGGCTAGTGTGAATTCATCAGGCTCCGTGTTTGAACAGGAGCCAGGTATAGTGTACAAGTAACTCCTGTTTGCTGTGCCTGACCTAAATCCAAGTTTTGCTTTGTCAGGTTTTGTCCGACGTGTGTTCTGTTTCCCTGCTGTGTAGTAGCGCTGCTGGAGGCTGGGTGTTAGCACTGGAAACCTGATGATTCAGTCACAGAAGTATGAAGGCCATATTGCGGCAACAGGGAGGAAGCGGGGACATATAACCTTACCATGTGTTTTCTGGTGGTCAGAGGTTTCAGTTCATACTGAAAGAATTCGTATTCGGAAAGTTTCAAAAGATTAAATGCAGACTCTCCTCGTATTCTAGATGGCAGTCAAGCACCACAAGCAACCTCATTCTCTGCCAACAGTGCTTCTGGAGAAGTAATGTCTTGTCTGGTTATTTATAAATAGTAATTTTCCAGGATCGACACCTATCAGAGCCCAGCCGTTCACCTCCACTGCCTCCCATTCCTTGGCAACTGTTCCCCCAGCAAGAGTGCACAGGCAGCACGAGACCTCCAGCTGCCCCTGATGCCTCTCCTCACCTTCAGTCTCACAGGTCTGGGGATCTTAGGGTGGTGAGAGAAGCATCTGCTCTTTGAGCCTCTGCCTCAAACAACAACATTGCCACGAATAAGTTTCTGATAACAAGGAGTTGGGAACTGTACCAGATAGGAAGACTGCCAGCTCCCTGACACTCACCTCTGGCTGGGGCATGAGAGGAAGTCCCCTGGCAGAATATCTGTGTGAACAACAAATCCTGCTCACCCCTGATGGCCACAACAATGCTGAGCTGAGCAAATGCACCCTACCCACAGACAATGCCAAGGCCCTCTGCTCAGCAGAAGAAGGTGAATTGAGCTTGCCTTCATGCTCTTAGCAGCCTCGCTCCTGCTGCTCCCTCAAAAACGTAGACTCTGTTTATGAACACCAATATCCTCAAAGCAGAATTAAAGTTAATTCTATTGCAGGCTGACAGATGCCGAATAATAAGCCAGAAACAAATCTCGAAGGAAGGCAAATAAATGCCTACGGTATCTGGATCAATATCTCAGCATGCAGTGCTCCAGGGAGAGAAGCTGTATGAAATCTCTAAATGTTTAACCACTTGTGTGTGTTTCTGTGGGGAGAGAAGTGCCAGATTAGTTTTCCTGTGATTAGTATCATGTCCTTGGCTGGACAGTATTTTTATCTCAGCAAGCCCAAGATGTATTTTGGTTTAGGCCCCAGAAGCTACCAACTCTAATTAGTAAATTAAAAGAAAAAGAACGGAGTGTGTTAGGAACTATGGAGAGATTTTCCAGGATCATTTATGAAGCCATCTTCTTTGCTTGTTGATTACCATTAAGCACCTATTAACTCCGTTGCAGGAAGGTGATGGATGATTAAACTGGGTTAAATGGAAGTGATTACGTTGGCTTATCCCTGTCATGGAAAAATTCACTGGGACACGGAAGAGGGAGGAAATTGTCACACAGATGCCAGGAAGTTCTGCTGGAAGGTACACGAAATTGTTTTTCTCCCTGTAAAAGAGCCTTATCCCACCCAGGATCCACCTGGATGCCCCAGACTCGCTTTGAATTGAATTGTTTTCACCTCGGACAGCAGTTGCCCCAGCGTTGCACCTGCATGGTCCACCTGACCTGCATTTTGAAAGCATCCCTGAAGACACTGAGAAGCAAGCACCTCGCCCCTGTCGTGACTGCTAACACAGAAGCAGGGTTTTATTGCAGGGACCGGTGCACAGTTTCCTGCTGGCCAGCAGCCAGGAGCTTGCTTCCTCCAGGTAACAAACATCCCTGAGCTCTCTCTGTGCTGCCACTCCTCTTTACGGAGATTTGCAGCAGACACCATGTGGCAGACCCCTCTGTCATGACTTTCGTCTCTTGTGCCATCAGAGAACCGCCCTGGGGACATGGGGCTGAGATGTCTGTGTGCGAGCATGTGCGTGCGCCTCTGTGCACACAGCTGTGTTTGTTTTATGTTGTATATAGAAGAAAATAAGATTATTTATGTTCTAATCATTATGTGTTCCCTGAGCAAAATATTTTCTGCTCTGATTTATTGCTCTCTTTAGTCCTGCCCTCAAGCATTGTTTTTATGTTTGGAGCTGATCACATTTTTTTTCTTTCCCATTTGGAAATGGAAATCTTAAATCTAACGGCATATTGAATGAAAAAAAAATACTTGGAGGAAGGAGGAGTTTCACTTCTCTGTTTTCCTATTTCTTTTTTCTTTTTTCTCTCCCATCTTTCCTTTTACCCTTTCTCCTACTTTATCTCTGAAAATGGAAGGAAATGCGGTATCTGGAGAAAAGACAGGAACAATATTTATTATCTCATTCTTTCATTAAGAAATTGGAAAAAATCAAAAGGTTTAACACCGAAAACGTCCAACACAAAAAGTACCTGTCATTTCCAGGTTAGCACTGTTGTGCTGTTGATTAACAATATCCAACCAACAAATCTGTGTAAAATAAAAATGCATGTGCACTGTATCTGGCATTTATGAGTGACTACAAATATATATATTTTTACTTCTTAGTGCTTTACAAAGGTTATGTTAGGTGCTTTAGAGCTTCTTTTTCTTTTTTTTATCTCACAAATATCAAAAATGAGGGTTTCCCCCACCCTTCATTTGCTAGAGGACTTTGCTGGGGACCAAAGAAGTGACATGAGTTCTGTAGTCAGAAGATACAGGAGAACACAAATCTTTAACAAATTGAGCTTTTCGCCCCTATATTGCTCAGGAGTTTGGGCTCAATCTCAGAAGAGCTTTCACACAGTCTGAATAAAATTTCTTCTAAAATCCTTTCTTTAAATCTTTCCCCTTTACTCCATTTTTTAAATTCTCCTCAGTAGCTCAGCATTCCTTTCTGGTTTGAGGTGTGAAATCTCTGCAGCATTATTACCTACACAGCAGAAAGAGCATGAACAAGGGCAAAAGATTGGGGGTGGGGAGTGGAATTAAGATAAATCCATCATACAGCACTATGCCACGAGAAAACAAAAAATTCCAGGACATATATTTTCCCCCCTCTTATGGGTCACATCTATCAAGCAAGAGAAAATCCTGCGCTATTGTATTTGGTTTCTGAGCTGGATGAACAAACTACCCTGGCTGTAGCCTCCAGGGATGTTGTCACCAAACAAATGCTGCTATTAAAGTGTTGGTAGGAGGTCCATTAGGAAATGAAAGGAGAAAAACAATTTGGGGAGGGGGGTGGGGAGGGGGGTAGGAAAAGTAGCTAACATAAACCTGGAAGTACAGCTCGGGTACTCTTAAATTAGAAATCTTTAGGAGGTCTCCCACACATCGCTGTAAGATTGCAAGCTTGCTAAAGAATTTTTTGATCTGTGCAGTGCTCCAGATATGCTTCGCATCCTCCAGCTTTTCTATTCGTTTCTTGCTAAGCTTCTCGATGGCTGTAAGCCTCTGTCAATTAACTCCCCAATGTCTCTCTGGGCAGTGCCTCGGTGCTCCTCTGACTCTCCTTCCAATTCTCTTAGTTCCTTGGTACTGCTTCAATCCCATATCTCAGCTGCTCAAGAGGAAAGAAAATTAGCTTAGCGGATTTCTCCTCTTCTCCATCAGCTGCCCCTATTATTTAACCTCATTAAGAAGAAAGCTTACCAGATGTGAAACCAAAACCAAGGCTGCTGGAGTTCAGGAAGTGCTTGGACAAGGCTCTCAGACATATGGTCTGGTTTTTGGGTGGTCCTGTGTGGAGCCAGGAGTTGGACTCGATGATCCTTGTGGGTTCCTTCCAACTCGGGGTATTCTATGAAATGCTCGGGATGCTCTGTGAAAAGAGTAACCATAAGTTATTATTCCCCAATACCTTCAGAGTTAAAAATAAAATTAATCTCGGTCTGAAACTAAAATAATGAGGAAGTCTTGTCGTGCCTGCTGTTCCAGAACAACAAATTCTGAAGATTTCTGCTCCTCAGAAATCAGGTGCTTTTGTGTCAAGGCCTCTAGAGGTCACCAGAACCTAATTAATAAGGCAGAGCTAAGCCCCCAAATGGGAAGCGTAAATGGCTTTGTTTTGGTTGAGACTCCACACCTTTGGGTCTCCCCTCTGGCAAGGAATCCAGCCATCATTAGATTGCGAATAACATCAAATGCCGGCAAAGCCATAACCTCCTGGAGAGGCTCCACTACAGAGAAGCCAGGTCCCTTTTTGTGTAAGGAAGCAGAGTGCTCAGCTTGGCATCTCTCATCAGAATCTCACCTGCACACTTCTGTGACAAAACCTGCCCCGCACAGCTGGAGTCTGGGCTCCCTGGCCTCCCGCGGCTGACGCCACACATTTGTAAGCCCAGCAAATGCCTGAAGTGTCACCAAACCGTGAGGGATGCCAGTTCGCTCCCTAGTGCTAACACACAAAAGCGATGACTCAAAAGAGAGCACTGGCTGTGTGTACATATTAGGTAGTTGGTAAAGACTTTTCTACGTATGTTTTTACCCTGTGAGTTATGATCTGAAAAGGCAGGAATCCACGTGAAGAGTAAAGTTGCCTTCCAGATCACCCAGTGGTATTTCTACTGAGGTTTATAGAGGAGCTGCAATTTAATTATGATTAAGTGGTGGCCATGAGGCCAGAGACCTCATCTGCTTTGTGTAAGCACAGAAGGAAAAGCTCAAGTAATTTTCTTGGAGCTCTTTTCAGGGTTTAGGAATGAGGCAGGCTGGGGAGAAGGGAGCTGGGTACAGCTGAGGAGAAATATTTATTACAAGACAGCAAACAGAAGCTGGTCCTTTCAGGAGAAGTTCCTCTGAAAAGAGCAAAGGTATTTGTTTTGGGAGCAGTCACTGGAACAGAGGCCTGTGGTGTCTCTCCAGAAGCATTTTTGTCTCTGAAAAGCCAGACAAGTTGAACACAGCCAAGTGACCTGTGTCTCACAGGGTCACTAAGGGTGGTGTGGAAGGCTGCTGGGAGGGGATCCTCACACAGAGCTTCTTCACTGTTAAATACAGGATACTGCCGGCCCAGGGCTGGGAAATTTTTCAGGATAAGCAGCAGGAAGTGAGGAGGTGCCCCTTTAACTGTCTGCAATTACTTCCACCTTTCTGTCTGTGGTATTCCCTTTGCCTCAGTGGCAGCAGGTGGCTTGCACCCCTTGTGTCCTGCTCCGGGAGCAGCAGCTGGCAGTAACAGGATTGCCCTGAGCGTGCTCGCCAGGATCAGCACACACGTTATTTTTGCAGACTGGAACTGTGACGCTGCAGCCTGGCTGGACTCTGCGTGTCGGTTCCTAATCCCATGCAAAGCCCTGCAGAGGTCAGCCGGACCATAAACAGAGGAATGTGCCCACCTGAAGGAGATCAGGATTATTTTCATCGTGGCATTCCACTCCCAAAGAGGAAATGCTCCTGAGAGTCTTACGGCTATGCTTTATGTTCTTGCCTGTCACTTGAGAGAGATGCGTGGATAGAGTTAGGGGCTTCCCTTCTTCTCAGTTCCCTTTTCCAGACAGGGTCCTGCAGAACCCTTGCTTCTTCTTCCCCCTCTCCAAACAGCAGTCTCATCAAAATTTCTCCCTGGTTGTCATCCGTAACAAACAGAACACCGCCCCTTTTGCTATTTACAGTGAGATTAACCTTTAGCAAATTAGCCGGTGAGTGTCACGAAGGGATTAATTAAGACAGCACACCCTTGACTTGTTCCCACCGTGCAAGTAGTGTGCTGAATTTGCAACAGCATACCCATGACTCTGCCAAAAACCTCCCACAATGGAGCCCATATTTTTTTTTTTTTTTCCATTTTATGTTATACTGGCAAATTGGCCAGCCACAGGGAGATGCGTGAGATAGACACAGGCCAGGGGAAGCAGCTGAGGAGACAGACGACCTGGCCTTCCCCAGCGTGTGTGCTTCACCTCTGCTGCCCTGGTAGCAAGGATGGGGGGCCATGCCTCAGCCACCTCAACTTGATGTTGTAGCTTAAGCAGCCAAAGAAGGAAGTTGCTGCCAAAATATCAGGCTGTGATGCACAGCAGCTGGGTCTGGACATGTAGCCTATGCTGCCTAGCACTGTCAGATTCGATCCAGCTTTCCATGTGCATGTCTAGGAGGAATGATGCATGCACACAGAGGCCAAGGCTTCTGGAAAGCCTTAGACCTCTGGCCTTTGCATAGCCGAGCTGATCTGTGCAGATGTGCTGGACGTGCCCAGGTTATGTGGACGGCTTTCTGCTTGCTTACAGGCCTCTGAGAGCTCTCAAGTTCCTCAAATTCCAACAGAGAACTCTGGTGGAAAAAGAGGCCTTCTCCAGGGAAATCCAGCATGCTGGCCTGGCCTCTGCTCCTCTTCCCACACAGCTGTAACTCCAGTAAAGGCAGTAAGATCTTCAGCCAATGCACCAGAGCTGATGTCCCAAAGCCCAAAATCTCAGGCCTCGAGGCTGCAGCAGGGAATGGTGACAGCACAGCAGTGCTGCTGGTGGACAAAGCCAGGTGGCACACACAGGGGCAGGTGATGTTTCTCCACACCTTGAGAAGCCCCATGTCTCATGCTGTGCTGTCTGGTGTGGGCTTGTCCCATTGAGCCTCTGCCACTGTCACCTCCTCCTCGTGCAGCAAAATCCTCAATGGATGGGTTATGGGGAGACAACGTCAGCCCAGGGAACAGGGTTTTGTGAGGAGGGAAACAGCCTTCCTTCAAAACACAGCACCTCCACTGCCTCCTTGTCCTGAAAATTGAGCAGCACAGTAATCATTGGTAGTGCCCAGGACTTCTTTTCCTTCAGCACCAAGATTCAAACAGTATCACATATAGCGACCCTGTTGAGACAAACCTGTTTGGACAGTGTTTTGGATTGCAAATAGGTGTAAACTACTTCCTTGCATTTCTTCAGATCCGTGAGTATTTGAAGCTAATGCAAGTTAACTAAAATATTTAACTTTATGATAAGTTCAGTATATGTTTGTCTGGGTCAGGTAATAAAATCCTGTCATTCCTTGATAATCAAAATATTTGGTCAAAGATGTCTCATACAGCAGGAGAAATCAACTATGAAATTACATCATCACTGGTGCAGTTCTGACATCTATTTACATTCCTTCCCTGGGATCTCCAAACTTTCTTGAGGCTTTCAGTTTTGCATCCAGCTGTGCACCCTAAGGAAAACGTGAGCTCATGCAGAGGTGAGGTCCAAATGTATACTGTTCCCAGCCTCCTTTCGTTTTTCTCTGACAGAAAAACACTAAGAGCTGGTTTGAGTGATACTGGGACTGCAACCATCTCTGGGCATGCAGCATGCTCTGACCCAAAAAAAAAACCAACACGTGGCAACACAGCCTGAGGTGCTGCAGTGATACACATGAGTAGTAACAGTTCAGCATTACCAGGAGGAAGGGCTAAAACTGCATCCCTTGAGATGGTGAGCTCAGAGCTCTTCACACTCGTGGTATGGACATCTCTAAAAATATTCAGAGTATTCAAAAAGCTGGTGGGGAGGAACAAGGGACTGTTCTGGTTTCGGACTCATTGTCCGTGTTGCTGCACTGCCTTAGCTGCTAGGTGGCTGACCAAGCCCATGGTATAATTGAAAGATTGCAACTTCGTGGTGATAGCAGTGCAAGACTGCACCATGAATTAAATAATAATAAAATGAATACAGGGTTTAGTTGGTGCAGGATAATAAAATTAATGAGTGTACTAAATCATTACACAACCATGTCTCTTCTTGTGTAATTGATTACTAAGTCCTTAATTAATTTGCTACACAGAACGTGAAAGGGGAGTGACCAATACAATCTCCTGGATTTATGGGCATTATTTGGAAATGTGGGTAGTTCCTTAAGGCTCGGACTTTTGTCGGATTTAGTTGCAAAAGCTGCCCCCACATCTAAGGCCATCAGGAGCCATAAATCAAAATCTCGAGTTAGTCACTCTGTGCATCAATGTAAACCAAAATCAGCAGCAGTTTGTGGTAGTATCTCAAGCTGTAATCTCCCAAACGGGGCTTGGGCTGAGCAGCTGGCACCTTGAAGGTTAGCTGTTAAGAAATTGGATGCTTGGGTTCAGTTTAAAGTGATTGCTTATGTGGGGCCTACGCATAGACCATTAGTAGTGAAAAGGTGAATTGGGTCAGCTGTAGCCACCTCTTTGGGAAGGAGAAGGGCTTGTGATGCTGAAGACATAGTGGGGTGTTAAAGGCATGAAGGCATTTTCCATTGCACCTTCCAGGGCATGGCACAAACTGATTAGGAGCACTACGACACTCGCCGTGCTTTGCGTTATCTCCCAGTTACGCTCTAAATGGTATTGATAAAAATCGGACACAGGCAGCGTGAAGTGGCTGGAGGGCTTTTTTTTATTTTAAGTCGCTTCTTAGCGTGAACAGGACAGGACAGAAATCTTAAAAAAGAATAAATAGATAGATAAAGAAAAAGAGAAAATAAAAATAATAAAAGAAAAATAAAAAAAAGATAAAGATGAAATAAAATAAATAAAATAAAATAAAAAATAGAAAAAGAAAAAATAAGGAAAAAATAATAAATAAATAAAAATAAATAAAATAAAACATAAAAAATAATAAAACAAAATAAAATATAAAAAATAATAAACCAATAAAATAAATAAAATAAATAAATAAAATAAATAAATAAAATAAAATAAATAACCCCGCCATCAGCCCCCCCCCCCCCCCCCCGCCCGCAGCCGGGCCCGCCCGGTTGCCAGGCAGTGACGTCACCGCCGCGCGCCCTCCCTCCCTCGCGCCGCGCGCCGGAAGAGCCTTGGCGCCGCGGTGACGTCAGCGCCTCCTCCTTTCCCAGCGAGGCCGCAGCGCAGGTAGGAGCGCGGCCGCCATCATCCGCCGCCATCCATCGCCATCCGGCCCCGGACGGCGCCATCGGGCCCTCAGCCGCCCTCCCCGGCCCTGCTCGGGTCCTCCTCCGTTCATCTCCCCGCGCGGCCGGGCCGGGCTGCGCCGCGGAGGGCGGCGGGGCGCGCTGCGGCCTAGCCGGGCGGTGATGGCGGCGGGAGGGCTGAGGGGGAGGCACGGAGGGGGTTGGGGGAGGGGGGGAGCTGCCGGGTGCTGCCCGGCGCTAACGGCCGTCCCCGTGCCGCCGCCTGTGCCCGCAGGGCGCCATGGGCCGCGTCATCCGAGGCCAGAGGAAAGGCGCCGGGTCCGTGTTCCGCGCTCACGTCAAGCACAGGAAGGGCCCGGCCAAGCTCCGCGCCGTCGACTTCGCCGAGAGGCACGGCTACATCAAGGGCATCGTCAAGGTACGGCCGGCGGGTGGGTAAAGGGGGCTGCGGCCCACCCCCAAACCTCGCGTGTGTGAGGGATCGTGCTTAAAGCTGGCTCCTTGTTATATACTCTCCTGATGTTCTGTTAAATCTGTTCCTTAAAACATTAAATGAGAAATCTGTGGCTGTA